GAGAGTTTGAGTTGGTCTTGGCGAATACAGCACGATAGACGCAGTAGAAGAGAGAGTGCAGTCCTGGAGAGTCCGAGAGAGTCCAGGGGCGAGCCTTGAGGCAGTCCAGTCTTGGGCGAGTCTTGGTTCAGCCTTGTGAGAGTCTTGGGGACTTTTCCCCAGGGCGCTGTGTCTTATAGAGTGCTCCAAAAGATCGACTAAGACGAGAGCTGAAACGTATTTCGTTGTATGCGTCTTATTTGACTGTAAAGTATAAGTGACTTTCCCGATCCCGTACCTCAAAGGGACGATATAGAGAGACGAGACGAGCTTCCCCCCTGACAGTGTGGAGACCCCGAGAGAGAGAATTTCCCCCTGATACGAAGACTAGCTATTGAAACGTATTACGTTCTGTGGGTCTATTTGACTGTAATGCTTAATTAAGTGACCTTCCCGGTCCGGTACCTCAAGCAGACGTGATGATAGAGACAGGCGAGATTTTCCATGACATTTGTATTGTTATTTGGTGGCATGTCTTCATGTGATTCGATTAAAGGAATATTCATGCATATCAATGAGGTCTACGTGAATTATATTATAATGCATATTCGAACACATTGCGAAAGCGGCTAGTGCCCAATGAAAAATAGTGGTGTCTAAATTTGCATACATCTGGGTATTACGAAATACAAGTGGAATCACCCTCACTCCATAGTAGTTCACACACTTCAACACATTTGCGTTATTTGGTGTCAAGATATGGTGAATTACTCATTCATTTAATTATTAGAAATCTGACATAAAGACAAACTTATATTTGAAACTACTTAGGCAAATTGGCCCCTTCCCAGTCTCCCCTAAATCAATTTTCAAATTGAAATATTTTGCAGTTACATGTTTTAATACCCAGTGGCACAAGTTATCATTAATTGGAAGCTGCATACCAAAATGGACGAAATTACTAACGGCAGAATATATGCAAAGTGGTAAAACTGGATATACCAAATAACGTCCATGAAACCCCGTATTACCCAAGATTTCGTTCTACTATAACGGCTTTCTGCTCGATTCAAAATGTTTACGCTACGTGTTTAATTCAGTTCAGCGTCCGTCACTGTAAAATTTGCATATCGTACTGCATATTTTAATGAGACGACAAAGCCTGAACGATGCTGTAAATATTATGATAAACTGTTACGTGTAGAGAGTCAAGATAACATCTAGCTTTTTGTTCTGAAAGATTGATTTGATAATATGACCTTTGTACAGCAATTCATTTGGTTTTAATGTACGATTTCTGAAGCATGGAACATACAAACAGATGAAAAACAAAGAATGTGACTCTGT